GGCCTAAGTAAAATGGGCCAACAGGTCAGATCAACCATCAAACGTTTCAAATCACGCTTCAAATCAACGGACAGGAGTATAGAAAAACGCGAATGGGCCCCGTCAAATTTATGAGGGGTAGTAAAATTTTAAATACAACGGTAACCACATTTAATGGTGCTTCAAATTAGGTTTCTGTCGAAAAGTTGAAATATGGAGTTTGTTCTTTAGCCAAAAGGAGAAATCGAATCAATGTCTATCGAAAAGGAATAGGAATTCAATCTTCCCTCGCCCTGGCACAAGACTAAATTCCTAGGGGGGCATTTGTTGGGGTCACTCGAATAAAAGACTCACTACTCGAAAATTTGGCACCAACGGGATACCTACCATATGGAATCAGGATGGGTTATAGGCATAGGTATTCGAGGTTGGCTCGAAATGATAAAACGGAGAGAGGTTGTTAGAGGTTGCTTGGGTAGATTAGCAGTTACGACATAGAAGTTACTACATCAGGTGTCAAAGGGATAAAAGCACGTGGGACAGGTGGTTATAAGGAGTTACACTTAAAGCCAAGCGATTTATGTAATGGACAACAGTTATGCACCCACGTTGAGCCCACACAAGATTAACCGCTCTCGATCATTTCTATAAATGGAAGAGGCAATCTTGTGTACAAGGGTCAAAAGAATCATACTTGCACTCTCATAAGCATTCACCGCCTGAGCATATGACTTCTGTGCATGGAATTGTTAGGTATGACAACTTCTTGGCCATATTTTCTTTCTATTTCTAGGATTAATTTAGTTTCGTTTAGTTCTATATATGGCTTCTGTGCATGGAATTGTTGAGTATGACAACTTCTTGGCCATATTTTCTTTCTATTTCTAGGATTAATTTAGTTTCGTTTAGTTTCGTAGCGTAGTTTGTAGTATTCATAGCCTGCTACTCTTAAAATCGTTACACTTTGTAATCTGCATTTATGTGATTTGGATAATGATTTGTATTGTCAATCTATGTATCACTCACTCAGTTTATATAAGTGTTTACATGCATGAAAATTATTGCTTTATAATCGTTGATGAATATCTGGAAATATGTTCCTATTAGTTGCGCTAATCCTATCATTGTCTCCATTCTTAATAGGCTTAATTTCGTATATACCTAAATTGAAATAACTTTGTGCTAGTTCAAATAAAAAGAACTCATAAATGTAACTTCCCCACAAACAGGAAAGTAAAGCAATGCAAACAATAGCTCTACGGCTCTAGTGCATATTTCGCAGTCAAACATTACATAAAGTGCTACGTGCTAAGCAATGACGAAATCTTCTGGGTTTGTATGAAACAATGAATAGAAAAAACCCATGTTAGGTATTGCCGAAAGGGACCGCGTTATGGAAAGTACTAAGCAATTTTTAATAGCGCAGAAACAAGTATACAAGTTTTCACCTAAAGTATTTTTTTTTCCAATCTATTCCACATATTAAATCATTAGAATGAACTAGAAAACAACATTATCTTGAGTTTTATTAGTAAATGATAAAATTTAGTATATCATGCATATTTTTGTCCAACGTAAAAACTACTTTGATTACTTCAACCACAAATCAATTTTTCATTCAGAATTAATTTTCCAACGTAAATAGAATATTTATATATAATAATTAAGTGTTACTTCAATATTTTTTTTATAATCATATTATTAATGTGAATTATTAACCGATTTTGTAAATAAAAATTATTTAAAAAAAAAAAACCTCATTAGTCACCTTTATATTTTCTTCTAATTTGAGATTCAAAATTGAAACCTTAATTAACAGAATTGATATCTTTTTTTTATAAAAAATTATAATTTAAAATAATTTTCAATATAAAATAATCTCTAATCTAAAATAAAAATTATCAAACTAAGTATCATGGATACAACATTAAACTTAAATTAAAAAGTGTAAAATTTTAAAAACTCGAAACAAAAAAATAAAAATACTTTCATGAGAGTGATTATTCATCAATATTAAATTTTATTGGAGGTTTAGGTAGATAAATTTATAGTAATTTCATATTGTTTAACATTAATTTTATCTTTATCTATAAAAAAAATGATATCTTATTAAAATAATACATATATAATAATAAATAGTTAAATGAGTTGTTAGTAAGTTGTTAGTGGGTTAGGTTGATGGGTTGATAGTGGGTCAGGTGGGCAGCCTGGCCCACCACGGGTTCAAATTGAGTGGGCCGGGTCACATTTTTTGACCCATCATAAGTTTTTTCATTTTTTTGGCTCGGCCCGTTTTCAAGGTGGGCCGGGTTGACCCACGGGCTAGAGCCCACTTTGATAGCTCTACTTGCACCCAATATAGGGAATGACATTTTCAGCCAGTCCTTGAAGCCTCAAAATAAGTCACGTTGTAGGAAAGACCTGTCAATGTAAGAAATTGGTTAACGAATAATAAGTTTGGTTAGGCAAATAAATGCTCTAAACTTTTTTGTTCCACGTCTCACTTGTGAAACTCGTTGATAAATAGATCGATATGTAGATTCAATGAAAATTTGAAATTATTTTTTTTTCTTCAAAAAGAAAAAACCTACCAAATTCAAAAGATTTGTTTTTCCTTTCTATTTTAAGCTAACCAAAGAATCCCACATGGTTGTCTTTTATAAGAGCAACTCCAATGGGAGTTGCTTCTCCCATTTCTTGTTTCAAGCACCTGTTTCTTCCCATTGGAGAACTCTGACGTGTCAACAAGAGTTGCTTGAAGAAGAGAGAGAGTTGCTTCCTCAAGCAACTGTTCCTTACTGGATTTTGGAGGGGAAGAGATTCGCGGAGTCACCATGACCACCTCGTCGGCATCTTCCACGACCACCTCGTCAGCACCATGAAGTTCCTCATCAACAACATGCACTCCTTCATCGACCTCGTCGCCATGGTGACGGAGAGGTTCGGGTTCCCCGCACTGGAGAGAAGATACAACAGCGGAGGAAAAAGGAAAACGAACTATTTGAAGAAAAAGTAAAAAAGCACCGTTGGAAGAAAAAGAGACGTTGGGATTAAAGAATAAATAAATAATAAATAAATAGATAAATAAAATAAAATAAAAGTACCATTGGAACTTTGAAGTAGCCATTGGGTATTTTTTTTTAAAAAGAAAAATATCACTATAAATATTCATCAACTCAATTAAAAAATTTGGACCTCTTTAAGTCTCTTCTACTTTTATTCTCTTTCTTGATTTTATCTTGCTTGTTTTGCTCTCAAAAATGGATCCTAACCAATACAATCATCAAATTTTTTTAAATTCTTTCCAAAACCAACCACCACCGAAGAGTGCAAATTCTCAAATTCCTCCGCAATATGTTATGTATCCACCATCTTATTTTAGTGAAAATTATCAAAATCCACCACCTTATTGATCAACACCACAATATTATATGTTTCCAACACATCCACCTAGTGGTGATAGTTCTCAAGGACCACAATTTTTTAGTCAACCACCTCCTCTCACCAATCCAAATGCATGTTATAGGCATTCTACTCTACACAATATTGACACTCCTAATAGTGAACCTGAATCACCAATTGGGCTCGATGGAATTCAACTAGATGGAAGAGCAGGAAATTTGTCAACAAAAAAAATTCATGTTCCATTCACAGTTCAAGAAGATATTACTCTCGTGAGGTCATAGGTCAATACGTCGAAGGATCCAATCATAGGAGTTGATCAAACGTTACGACAATATTGGTCGAGAATCACAGAATCATACAACAACGATGAAGACCGTGGCGAGTTCACAGAGAGAGAGTCGACTCAAATAAAAGCACGTTGGAATCGAATTCATCCTGTAGTTCAAAAGTTTATTGGTTGCTACAAACAACCAATTAGTCAAAAGAAAAGCGGGAGTTCGGAGAAAGATGTCATGGCATTCGAACATAAGATTTACACTCAAGATACAGGTAAAAATTTTGATATGGAGCATGCATGGTTCATTTTGAGAGATGAACCTAAATGGAAATTTGATTTCGTGCAACATAATTCAAAAAGAGGGAAGGTAACGTCTGCAAGTGGTTACTCTTTGTCTTCTAGCACAAAGACACCCATTGAACTTGATGAATATGAGATACCAACGCCAACATCCCGTCTGATAGGACAAAAGGCAACGAAAAGGAAGGGTAAAGGAAAAGAAACTTCCAATACTAATGTTGTTGATTTTTCTGGCATAGAAAATGCAATAAATGAGAAAATGCCTATGCATCAAGATTAATTAAGTTGAAGGAGGCAAAGAAAGATTTTTGGCATATGAAACCATAATGAAGGATACTTCCAACATGAATGAGATCGACTCAACGTGAAGCTCATGAGAAGTATTGTAACTATTTTAAACAACAATATGGGTTTTAATTTCTTTTGGGGTTTAGGGAAGTATTTGAGTTTTAATTTCTTTTATTATTGTAATTCAAATTCTGTTGTTATGAAACTAGTCATTGTAAAACTAGCCGTTGTAAAACTAGTCGTTGTAAAACTATTTATATGTAGACTTTGTCATCCAATCCTACTCATTCTCACATCTTCTCACACAAAATACCTATCTATTCTTCTTCGATTTTTAGATAGATACGTAATGGATCAAAACAATAATTTAGATAATCCAAACATCAATTTAGATGATCTTTTGGATCAATTCATAGATGATGAACTACACGACAACACCAACGAAGAATTGATCCGTTTGATGATAGAAACCTATCAACAACGACTTCCCAACACCACAAGGTCAAACAAAACAAGGAGGGTAGTTCATCGAAATCGTGAGGAAGGTCATGAATGATTGTTCAATGACTATTACTCTAAAAATCCAGTATACACAGAAACTCAGTTCTAAAGACGGTTTCGCATGTGACGACATGTGTTTCTCTGAGTTGTAGATGTTGTAAGCAATCATGATGAGTACTTTCGAATGAGGCTCGATGCAACACGTAGAAGGGGCCTATCACCATTATAAAAGAGCACAACTTCTCTTCGTATGCTGGCTTATGGGACACCTGTTGACTTTGTGGACGAGTATATTAGAATTGGTGAAACTAGTGTAGTGGAATGCTTACAAAGATTCATGAAAGGAATTTGTGAAAAATTTAGGGGTGAGTATCTGAGACGCCCTAATAACGAAGACATTCAACTACTACTATGGGTGGGAGAGGCACGTAGGTTTCCTGGAATGCTAGGTTCAATTGACTGTATGCATTGAGAATGGAAGAATTGTCCAGTTGCGTGGAAAGGTCAATTTTGTCAAGGTCATCATGCCAATCCAACAATCATTCTTGAAGCTGTTGCATCACAAGACTTGTGGATTTGGCATGCATTTTTTGGAACTATAGGTTCAAATAATGATATTACTGTCTTAAATGCATCTAATGTATTTAACGAAGTTCTTTTAGGAACTGCTCTGACAGTGCAATACACCGTGAATAGAACCCAATATAATATGGGTTACTATCTAGCAGATGGCATATATCCAGACTTTGCTACATTTGTCAAGACCATCTCCATGCCACAGGGGAAAAAAAGGAAATTATTTGCCGAACGACAAGAATCAACGAGAAAGGATGTAGAACGTGCATTTGGAGTGCTTCAATCTCGATTCGCAATCATACGAGGTTCGACACATTTTTGGGATGCTGCAATAATGAAAAATATAATTTATGCATGTATCATATTGCATAACATGATTATCGAGGACGAGCGAGACACCTATCAAAATTATATTGATTATGATGGTGTAGATGATGACATGTCAAGATCTGAAATATTTATAGGTGTTCATCCCAATTTTAGAACAACATACCTTCAAAGGAGAGCATACATTCATGATAAACGAATACACCGCCAACTTCAAGCAGATTTTATTGAACATATTTGGGAATGTTTTAGAAATAATAAGGAAAAAAATTAATTTCATATAATGTTTATGCATTTACTATTGCTTTATTTTATTTTTAATATCTACTTATTGTGTATTTTTTCTCATAATTTATTTTCTTTCATTGTAGTGCAGTTGTCCTTTTTAATAAAAATTTAAATTTGGTTCATAAATAATTAGAAAAACAATTCTAAAAGTTGAATTTCTTAAAGTTTCTTACTATTAGAGTAAATTTGCTTAATGAGTTGCTTCCATTGGAGATGTCCCAAGAATCCTTCACCTTTGTCGCTACAAGTCAGAAGGTCGGCGCAATACCCGGACAATTGGGCTTTTTCCCTCCACTCCCTTATTTTGAGCTATTCTAAGACCTCTAGACCTACAGAGAACCCTCCTAGGGCCTTCGAGGAGTCCTTCTGGCTGATTATCCTTCAGTCTTCGAGAGTCTTCAAGCTTTATTTCCGACCCGGACAATTTTAGGGGTCTACAATCCCTAGTTAGAGGATATGATGTTGGTGTCAGCTGGTCAAGCTGAGCAGTTGATGAGGGATGGAGTTGAGTGCTTCATGTTGTTTGCTACTGTGAGTATTGAGACGGAGAGGGCCATCACTGGGATTGAGATTGTCAGTGAGTTTCTTGAGGTGTTCCCAGATGATGTGTCGGGATTGCCTCCTATTGTGATATTGAGTTTAGCATTGATCTGCTACCCGACGCAAGATCGATATTAGTGGCTCCTTATAGGATGGCTCCAACTGAGTTGGTAGAGCTGAAGAAAAAGATTGAGGACTTGTTGGAGAAACAGTTGGTGAGGCCTAATGTTTCTCTTTATGAAGAAGAAGGATGGTGGAGCCCGTTTGTGTGTAGATTATCGGCAACTGAATAAGTTGATGATAAAGAATAAGTATCCACTTTCAAGGATTGATGATATGATGGATCAACTGAGGGGAGCTTTAGTGTTTTCGAAGATTGATTTGAGATCCGGATACCATCAGATCAAGGTGAAGGAGAGTGACATACCGAAGACTGCTTTCAAGACTAGGTATGGTCATTATGAGTATGTAGTGATGCCCTTCAGTGTCACTAATGCTCTGGTAGTGTTCATGGATTACATGAACATGATTTTTAGGTCATTCTTGGACAGATTTGTGGTGGTCTTCATTGATGATATATTGGTATATCCTAGATATTTGGAGGATCACCGTGAGCATCTAAGGTTGGTTTTAGAGGTGCTGAGGGAGAGACAGTTGTATGCCAAACTGTCCTAGTGTGAGTTTTGGTTGTCCGAGGTGATGTTTTTGGGACATGTGATATCAGTAGAGGGGATTGTAGTGGATCCAGCCAAGGTGGAGGCTATGATTCAGTGGGAATGTCCGAGGACTGCTATGAGGATTAGGAGTTTTGTTGGGTTAGCGGGTTACTATCAAAGGTTCATAGAGGGTTTTTCCCGAATAGTATTGCCTTTGACTCAACTGACTCGAAAAGATCAGCCTGTTGTTTGGACGGATGCTTATGAGCAGAGTTTTCAGGAGTTCAAGAGATGGTTGACTACTTCTCCGGTTTTGGTGTTGCCTGACACTAGTGAGCATTTTGATGTGTTCTGTGACGCTTCTTACCAGGGGTTAGGTTGTCTGTTGATGCAGGGAGGGAGAGTAGTGGCATATGCTTCGAGGCAACTTAAGACCTATGAGAAGAACTATCTCACTCATGATTTGGAGCTTGCAGCTATGGTGTTTGTCTTGAAGTCGGGTAACCACTATCTGTATGGTGCGCAGTTCAGTGTGTTCAGTGATCACAAGAGTTTTAAATACCTATTTGATCAAAAGGAGCTGAACATGAGGCAGAAGAGGTGGATGGAATTCCTAAAGGACTTTAATTTCTAGTTGATGTATCATCCTGGGAAGGTGAATGTGGTAGCAGATGCACTGAGTAGGAAGTCCATCCACATGTCGACTATGATGGTTAGAGGGTTAGATTTGATTGAGCAATTCAGAGATTTGAGTCTAGATGGGGAGGTTGTTCAAGATCACATTAGTTGTGGTATGATTAGCATAACTAATGAGTTCTTGAGACAGGTGGGAACTAAGTAGTTACAGGATCCAGAGTTGTTGAGGATTTTGGGATTGCTTGGTACCCAGAGGGTAGCTGGTTTTGAACTCGGTACTGATAGGATTTTGAGATTTAGAGATCGGATTTGTTTACCTCAAGGTTCAAAATTGAGGAGAGCTGTCCTGGAGGAGGGACACATGAGTCGCCTTAGCATACATCCCAGTATGACTAAGATGTATCAGGACATCAAGAAAAGTTTTTGGTGGCCTAGTATGAAGAAGGAGATAGCAGAGTTTCTGGCCGCTTGTTTGACTTGTCAGAAGGCGAAGATTGAGCATCAGAGGCCTGGAGGGGTTATGTAGTTGATGGAGATCCCTGAGTGGGAATGGGATAATGTCACTATGGACTTCGTGGTTGGGTTGCCTTGGATAGCTAGGAACACTGATGCTATCTGGTGTTTGTTGGTAGCCTGACGAAGTTTGTGGACTTTCTTTCGATCAATAAGAGGTGGACCTTGGAGAGGCTTGCACATTTTTATATCAGAGAGATAGTATGGTTGCATGGTGTGCCTTCTAGTATTATTTCTAATCATGATCCGAGGTTTACTTCCAGGAATTGGCAGACTCTACATCAGGCTTTGGGGATAAGGTTGAGATTAAGCTCCACTTATCATCCATAGACAGATGGTCAGTCGGAGAGGATAGTTTAGTCACTTGAGGATCTCTTGAGAGCTTGTGTGTTGGATCATCTTGGTAGCTGGGAGGAGGTGTTACCACTAGTGAAGTTTACCTACAACAATAGTTATCATTCTAGTATTGGCATGACGTCTTTTGAGGTTTTGTATGGCAGGAAATGTAGGAATCTATTGTGTTGGTTTCAGGAGGGTGAGTCAGTAGTGGTTGGTCCAGAGTTAGTTCTTTAGACTACTAAGATGGTGAGACAAATTCAGGAGAGGTTGAGAGCTACCTAGAGTCGATAGAAGTCCTATGCTGATAGGAGGAGGAGACCTCTAGAGTTTGAGGAGGGATAACACGTGTTTCTCAGGGTGACACCCACTACTAGAGTGGGAAGGGCTGTAAGGGCTAAGAAACTCACACCGAGGTTCATTGGTCCTTACCAGATCCTTCGTCGTGTAGGTCTAGTGGCTTATCAGTTGGTGTTACCACTAGTTTTGTCCAACCTACATGATATGTTTCACGTTTCATAGTTGAGGAAGTACATCAGAGACCCAAGTCACGTGGTGGAGATGGATGAGGTGCAAGTTAGAAAGAACTTGACTTATGAGAAGAGACTGGTAGCTATGGTTGATCACAAGTTGAAGGAGCTTCGGGGCAAGTCCATCAGCTTGGTAAAGGTTCTTTGGGATACAACTACTGGTGACGTGACCTGGGAGGTGGAGAGTCAGTTCAAGGAACGATATCCATTCCTCTTTTCAGGTAAGCCTATTTTCGGGGACGAAAATTCCTGTTTGTTGAGGGGTATTGTAACGTAGTGAGTAGATTTCAGAGTTTAGTTGACTCTAGGGAGAACAGTATATAAGAGTTTCTCTGAGAAGGGAACTTCATAAGTTCATTCTCAAAGAAAGCTAGAGAGAAGTTTTAGAGAGAAGGACTCTGGAACAATAGGCTCCTTTCTCTCCCAAATTTCTCTATTTGATTTCTCTTCTCTTCTAGATCACTAACTCCTTCTGTCTTCTCTTGGAATTCAGGCTAGGAAGCTTGTTTTTGGAGGATTGAAGTCCACAGGTCAAGCTTTGGAGGAATTCTTCTCCTTCTCAGTTCTTGGCTATTCTGAGTCAATCTTCAGGTGAGGGAAGCTAGAATGTAGGTTGTTTGGTTGCATGTGAGTTTAAGAACTCAATTGATGCATGAATTTGGAGAATCCATGGTTGGATTGAAGAAATTCTCATTTTCGGGGGTTTAAGAAAAATGAGGGCTTTTGATGATTTGATGCATATCTTAGATGCATGTTGGATCTGAGGTTGTTTTCAAGTTGTATGGAGCCCATGCATTATATTTCTTGGTTTGCATGTGGTTGGATTTTCCTGATTTTCAGGTTTTGGATGAAAATTTTCAAAGTTTTGGGGCTGTTGTATGAATTTACGCCGGGCGCATATTATTGGCGCCGGCGCATGTATTCATCAGAAGTAGTTTCTGGATGAATTCACGCCGGGCGTGAGGAGAGCCACGCCAGGCGCAAAAAAAAAACGTCGGGAATGGAAACCTTTTGGAGTCCCTGTTTGAACGATGCCGAGCGCGAGCTGGCTACGCCGAGCATGAGTGTACTTGATGTTTTGATTGAGAATGATGCTTGTGCATGTTTATAGTAGAAAGATTGATCATGTATGTATGATGTATGAAGGTGTATGATTCATACATATGCTAGGTAATGATATGTATGAATGTTTAAATATGATATGACGTGAGTATATGTTCATGAGTATGATACTGATCATGATGGTGGATTGACCATGTATGATGTATGATGCATTATTGAATGCGATGCCTTATGGCATTTGTCTAGCCTAGGACTTAAGGAGAGGGAAAATGTTTTCGAACTAGAAGAGCTCACATAGAGTCTCTTAAGAGTGGTGCTTGGATAGGCCACTAATATAAATGAGATTGGTGCTTAGATAGGCCACTAATTTTGGGTGAGAGTGGTGCTTAGGTAGGCCACTAGTTTGGGTGAGTCTCCTCTAAGTCCTTAACTAGTGTTGGAGCGGAGTATAAGGTCGAGGGTTATTCCCTTAACCAAGTATTGGGGAAGGTGCGTGGTTCCTTGCGGATAGTCGGTGGGTAAACTCTACAAGTGACTTGATAATGCATGCCAAGGTCGTGGTAAGCCTGTACCCAGCTGTGCTATACCTGACGGTGGAATCAAACTTCCAATTGTGTAAGCAAACAAATTGGCACGCCCGGTGGGACTTGTTTTGTATTTGAAACATAATTGAAACTAGTTTTAGGTATGTTGTATGAGACTTAGGAGTGGAAGAACCATGTCTACATCTAGAGAGGTGAATAACGATGTTCCAGTAGTTTCGTATGTACCTAAATTGAAACAACTTTGTGCTAGTTCAAATAAAAAGAACTCATAAACGTAACTTCCCCACAAACAAATTGGCACGCCCGGTGGGACTTGTTTTGTATTTGAAACATAATTGAAACTAGTTTTAGGTATGTTGTATGAGACTTAGGAGTGGAAGAACCATGTCTACATCTAGAGAGGTGAATAACGATGTTCCAGTAGATATGGAAAATAGAAATTCAAATCCTAATTTGGAAAATGTAACTGTCTTAACAACGGGGGCAAAGCCGCCTCCTGTAGTACCTAAAAATGTGGCTAGACAAATAACTGTATCTTAAGAATTTTTAAATGCCACTCGAGAATACCCATGGGGTATGCCTCCAAATTGGCGAACCACCCAACCCATACATGTCGAGATGCCTTTGCCTTATTTAGGGCTAAATCCACAACTGCACGTATCCCCACAAGGGTACAATCCTGCTCCACACGGAATGGGTTTTGTTATGCAAGATCCTTACGAACATGTGGGTACTAGGCAAGAAGGGTCTCTGGTTCGACAAAGTAACTATGTCCCCACAGGTATAAGTAATCAAGCTATGATAGCCCTTCGACAACAAATGGACCATAGTAATCATGACATTATATGAGTTAATAAACAAATTAGGAGATAAAGTGAGAGATAATTAGCCTTCGAGATGAAGTAGAAAATCATGTTGGGAATGGAGGTTTTCCCCAAAATCTAGGTAGGCCTCATAGGAACCGCGAGAAAAATTTAGATCAAGTTGTAGAGAGGATATTAAACAGGCATGGGTTCAAGATAGGACGAAATGAGCGTCCTTATTTTGTCACTGTGGTTTTCTGGGAGTACAATCTGTTTATCTTTTAACAAAATATCAAATATTTTATCAGCTTTTGTTACATCGAAACTATATCATTTTGTTGTGCCCCCTTCTAAATTATCTCCTGATTTTACCATCTGACATTGATATGTAGGACCAGGACGTAATTCAGCTATGTTTACTTCGAAATCCTCACTCATACCCTCATAATTAGCGTCCTCACTGATCTCTGCATTCTCTATATAAGCAACTTTTTCTTTTCAAATGAACCTATCGAACTTTCTTAATTTTTCTTTCTCTATCTTAATCTGTTCGATCCTTCTCACTTTTTCTTCTAACTGGGCCATATCCCTTAACTTTTCATTCACTAGTTTTTTACGAATTGAAAAATCTAACCCTGTAGTAGAAATTTTAACCAATTCATGTTCAGGTATGTTGGTATAACATCGGGATTTTAATTGCCTGAACCTATTCAAATAGTCGTCTAATGTTTCATGATTTTTCCTTTTTATGTTCATTAAATCAACTAGACTCACTTTAGTTTCTCCTTAAAAAAATGCTCATGAAAATTTCATTCTAATTGAGCCCAAGTATTTATCGAATTAGGAGGTAAAGTTGTAAACCATGTAAACGCATGTTTAGTCAAAGAACTTGGGAAATACTTCATCTTTAAATATTCATTGTTCCCTAAATCCCCGCATTCGACTAAATACCTTGCTATATGTTCGACAGTAGACTCATTCAATTCTCCCACAACACGTGGGACAGGTGGTTACGAGGAGTTACACTAAAAGCCAAGCGGTTTACATAATGGATAGTGGTTATGCACCCACGATGAGCCCACACAAGATTAACCGCTCTCGATCATTTCTATAAATGGAAGAGGCAATCTTGTGTACAAGGGTCAAAAGAATCATACTTGTACTCTCATAAGCATTCACCGCTTGCGCATATGGCTTCTGTGCATGGAATTGTTTGGTATGACAACTTCTTGGCCATATTTTCTTTCTATTTCTAGGATTAATTTAGTTTCGTTTAGTTCCGTAGTGTAGTTCGTAGTTCATAGCCTGCTATTCTTAAAATCGTTACACTTTGTAATCCGCATTTATGTGATTTGGATAATGATTTGTATTGTCGATCTATGTATCACTCACTCAATTTATATAAGTGTTTACATGCATGAAAATTATTGTTTTATAATCGTTGATGAATATCTGGAAATAGGTTCCTATTAGTTGCGTTAATTCTGTCATTGTCTCCATTCTTAATAGGCTTAATTTCGTATGTACCTAAATTGAAACAACTTTGTGCTAGTTCAAATAAAAAGAACTCATAAACGTAACTTCCCCACAAACAAATTGGCACGCCCGGTGGGACTTGTTTTGTATTTGAAACATAATTGAAACTAGTTTTAGGTATGTTGTATGAGACTTAGGAGTGGAAGAACCATGTCTACATCTAGAGAGGTGAATAACGATGTTCCAGTAGATATGGAAAATAGAAATTCAAATCCTAATTTGGAAAATGTAACTGTCTTAACAACGGGGGCAAAGCCGCCTCCTGTAGTACCTAAAAATGTGGCTAGTCCTTCATGTAAAAATCCATGGGAAATTCCGTCGGAAATTTTCCACGGATCTAAATCTGTGGGAAATTTCCGACGGATTTTGGCCCGTGGGAAATAATCCGTGGAAATTTGACTTTTTCTTGTAGTGAAGTGACATCATCTGAGTAAACCCGAGTGAGGATTTATATCCTGTTTAGCTGTGACCAAGTAGGCGCATTAGGCATGAAAATGGTTGGGGTGGTTTCGGAAGGATTGGGATGTCACTTATACTGCTCTTCTGTTAGGGAGATCTCCTAGGTGTATGCGTGATGATACATTAGATGATTGATATGCATTGATATCTGTCATGAGTTGCATGTATTGCATGATTGCTATGATGATGAAGTGTATGATGTTTGACTTCATGTATGATGAATTGATGATTGTTTGAGATGGAAGTTCCTGTGGGACTTGATTGGGTGAATTGGTAGTATAGATTGTTGTTCTGTACTTGTATGATTGCTTTTTGAACTCTAGCTTACCCTTTTGTTTCCATGTTGATGGACTACAATGATTATATTGTGTATGGGAGTAGGTCAGGGTTAGGTTGGAGTTGGTTGCGGTGATCGCTGTGAGACAGGGAGTTTTAGTCCTCGTGTCGGAGTTATCATTTGGGTAACTATTTTGTCTATGCTTGACCGACACTAGGGTGATATTATTTTTGGGATGGCTGTACATATATGGTGTTATATTTTGTACATAGAAACCTAGTTTTATTATTTCATATATATATATATATATATATATATATATATATGTCTATATGCATGAGTTATCCAGTTTTAATATTCTCTTAGTTCACTAGTAGTAGTGCGATTCCACTGAGTGTATGGATCATGGCGAGTCGTTACACTTTTATGGTATCAGAGCCGGTCGAGTCTTTTGGATACTCTGTGGGGAGTGATCTTTCTAGGTTTCTATTATGACATATCTCTTATATGTGTTTAGTTTTGGTGATTTGTGGAGATGCATTGTTACTAAAAGAATGTTTGGATTCTTTTAGTATGCTGAGGCCTTAGTATGATCAGATCGCTAGGGCCATGGACATGATGGCCATGGAAATGCAGCAATAGAGTGCTCACTTTGCTTAGATGAAGGCAGGTAGAGTTGTGGCTAAGGCAGCTAGACCGGTGGTCTCTCAGGATGGGAGAGATTTGGCAGAGTTTAGGAGATGTCAGCCTCCTTAGTTTAAGGGGGATTCAGATCCTGATGTTTTAGATTAGTGGTTGTGTGAGATGGAGAAGATCTTTAGTGTTTTGGGATCTTCTGAGGAGGGCAAGTTGGACTATGCAATATATATGCTAGCGGGCGAGGCTGAGTACTGGTGGAGAGGCACCAGACATATGTTAGAGAGCAAGGGTGTAGTTGTTGATTAGGATTGCTTCAGGAGAGTCTTTTTGGAGAAGTATTTTCCGGATAGAGTTAGATACGCTAAGGAGGTTGAGTTCACGAGACTGCAGCAGGGGAACATGCCTATTTCCGTGTATGCAATGAGGTTTGAGCATCTGGCTAGTTTCTAGTCTCAAGCTATATTTGAGGCTTGGAGATGTAGGAAGTTTGTAGAGGGGTTGAGACATGAGGTGAAGAAGGTCATTGTCCCTATGTCCATTGTGGAGTTTCCTGCCTTGGTTGAGAAGGCAAAGACGGTTGAGAGACTAGAGGGTGGTGGTGGAGGCACCAAGGCTGCGAGAGTATAGGATGGACCATCAGAATCTAAGAGGGGAGGCCAATAAATGGGACCCTATGATAGGTTTGTTTAGTCTCAGAGAGGTGCTGTCAATAGGGGACCTGATGGAGGACCATCCTTGAAGACACATGTGGGCCCCATCACTAGGTCCATGGCTAGGAGACGTTGAAGAGGAGGAGGAAGTTCACGCACCAAGGGACACTCTCCTCATGATCATAGAGTATTAGTGCTCTCCTAAGCCTCATTAATTTAGGATTTATTTTATTCCATTTTTACCCTTGTATTTTGGGGTATTTTAGTCATAGGATTTATTTTCTTTGTATTTCCCATTTTACCCTTGTATTATGGGGTGCCTTAGATGATTAGGGTTTTAATTTTGGGCTAGGGTGTTACATGAGGAGGTGACGCATTTTTTGGTGAGCATTGGACCTATTTTTGGTGTTAGAAAGGCTTAGGCCCAAGTGGAGGGCAAAGGTTGCATGGACTTATCATGCACCTAGAAATAGCCAATCTAACCCCTTAGATTCCATCCTTGGCCACCAAGTAGCATCTAGGGTTCATTTGGCATTTCATTTGGAGTGCATTTGCCTTGTGAATTTCGGCCATGCATTGCTCCAAATGCAACCCTAGATGCCTCCCCTCCTATAAATACCCAACACCCCACCACTTGTAAATACTTTGGAATATATAGATTTTGAGTGAGCTTTTATGCCTCAACATCTCTTCCTTAGTCACTAGGTTAACTTCGGCTAGCCTCCTTCATTCTCCACCCTTGGAGAGTGAAACCCTAGAGTGGCCTCCACCTATACTTGGAGTGAGCCAACCTTGAGCAACCAAACACCATTCACCTAAACACTTCCGCCACCCTAAACCTACTTCACGCCCATCTTCCTTTTCCCATCATAAGTCACCTTTTGTCTACCCTTTGGTGAGCCTAGATCAAGGGCAAGGTCTCCGCCCTTCACACTCTACATCAATCATGGAAGGAGGAAGCCATCAGGACCTCGTCCTGCTACTCCTCAGGGTGGAGCACAGTCAATGCGATGCTATAGATGTGGAGGAGCCCACATGGTTAGAGATTGTTCCCATCCGGGAAATGTTTGCTTTAGATGTGGCAGGCCAGGCCACCTTTCTAGAGATATTCAGACACCATGGGCTCTATCTGGGGGTGCTTCGAGGCTAGCCAGGCCTACAATTGCGAGGAGCGTATTTGCATTGTTAGGTGCAGAGGCTTCTACTTCATCAGACTTGGGGAAGGGGAAGGGGAAGGCAGTAGGTGAGGAGGTTTTCCTTTTGTTTGATTCTTGTGCTACACATTCATTTATATCTGTTGATTGTGTGAGGATATTGGGTCTATTGGTATCTGTATTTCATGTCGATTTGTCTGAATCTACTCCGACTTCAGTTTCTATAGTGACGTCGGAGATGTGTGCGTGGGATGCCTGATAGAGGTGTTTGGTAGGAGGTTCAAGTGAACCTGATTGTTTTGCCCATGGTGGATATAGATATCATCTTGGGGATGGATTGGTTATCTGCCCATCGCATCCTCATAGATTGTGCTCGTAGAGAGTTGGTGTATCCCCAGTTGGAGGATGGGGTGTTGGTGTCAGTTGGTCAAGCTGAGCAGTTGATGAGGGGTGGAACTGAGTGCTTCATGTTGTTTGCTGCTGTGAGTATTGAGACAGAGAGGGCCATCACTGGGATTGATATGGTCAGTGAGTTTCCTGAGGTGTTCCCAGATTATGTGCCGGGATTGCCTCCTATGCTTGATATTGAGTTTAACATTGATCTGGTACCCGGTGCAAGATGGGTATTGGTGGCTCCTTATAAGATATCTCTAGCTGAGTTTGTAAACCTGAAGAAGCAGATTGGGGATTTGTTGGAGAAACAATTGGTGAGGCCCAATGTTTCTCCTTAGGGTGCCCCGATACTGTTAGTGAAGAAGAAGGATGGTAGGGCCCGTTTGTGTGTAGATTATCGGCAACTGAATAAGTTGACGATAAAGAATAAGTATCCACTTCCGAGGATTGATAGTTTGATGGATCAGCTGAGGGGAGCTTTGGTATTTTTGAAGATTGATTTGAGATCCGGATACCATCAGATCAAGGTGAAGGAGAGTGACATACCGAAGACTACTTTCAGGACTAGGTATGGTCACTATGAGTATGTAGTGATGCCCTTTGGTGTCACTAATGATCCGGCAGTGTTCATGGATTACATGAACAGGATTTTCAGGTCATTCTTGGACAGATTTGTGGTGGTCTTCATTGATGACATATTGGTATATCCTAGATCTTTGGAGGATCACTGTGAGCATCTAAGGTTGGTTTCGAGGTCTTGAGGGAGAGACAGTTGTATGCCAAACTGTCTAAGTGTGAGTTTTGGTTGTCCGAGGTGAAGTTTTTGGGACATGTGATATCAACAGAGAGGATTGCAGTGAATCCAAGCAAGGTGGAGGCTGTGATTCAGTGGGAGCGTCCGAGGACTACTATAGAGATTAAGGGTTTTGTTGGGTTAGCGGGATAAAATTTAATGTTCATAATTTTGATTGCAGGATATAGAATTGGCCAAGACTTTGGTTAGGCAAGTGTTTCTCTTTGCCGAAGATTTGTCCCTGCAGAAAAAAATTATCCAAACAAGGATATGGGTCAGTTCCTCTTGCTTTTATAGTTTGCACCGAGGATTTTGCAATTTCATTGGATTTCCAGCTCTGGATGATTCAAAATGCCAGGATCAATGACATTTTAGAGATTAAAGGCCTAGATCATATGGCTATGATTAGCAAACCAAAAGAACTACGTGATTCTCTCTTGCAAATAGCTACTAAATACAAATGATCTATTGATGAAGCATATTTTATTTGTTCTGTATGATATTTATTAGTGCTCGAATTATAAGATCTCGCTTGAAACCATATGAAAGAAAATCAACACAACGTCTTTATACATTATATATAAGCAATTAACATATGAAAATTGTTGTTTATATATTCATGATGGTGAATAAATGAAATATTTATCAAATATATGTAAGTTTCGTTATTATTAACACTACAAAATGTCATGTAATAACATTATCTTATAGTGATATAATATTTGTTATTAAAAATTATTTTTTTTCCTACATTATGAATATAATATATGTTAGTATATTGTTAAAAAATGTAAGTATAAATTATAGTAATACATAATGTATCTTTGAATATCATTCAAAATCAACACTAAAATATTGTGTTTAGATATATATCAAATAAATTTGTATATAGCTACATATATTATATTTATGAGAACAATTTTTATATGTTTATGTAACATTTTTCTTGCAATAGTGTAAATAAAATGTATTCACCAAAACTCAGTATCGAGAGTATTAAGTTGTAAGTTTCAATCAAGAATTGATCATCAACATTATTTAATCATTTTTTGAAAGGCAAAATAATTATAAAACTATAAACATAAAATTTAGCTCATATAATAAAAAAATTATTCTCATAATTAAGGCATACTCATTTTATAAAACAATTGACATGAAATTTATAATATTTCATACACTTTTGGTAGTAATTCTACACTACCCAACAAAATGGATTCCTTTTATCAGGTTCTTGAGATTATGATGTTTTTCCTTTATTCTTTGTGAAAAATAACGGTGGCTCATGATGTTGAAGTTAGTTAGAGAAGGAATTGAAATATGACAAAATTATATAAAAATATCCATGTGGCTGGGGGATGAATCTCTGGCTGAATCACATCCGAGGTTGTTCTTAATCTCTAATCAGAAGCAGAATGTCATAAGCACTATGGGAAGGTGGGTTAGTTGGGAATAATTGGTGTTGGAATTTTCAGTGGAGAAGGAATATGTTTGAATGGGAGAGAGCGGAATGACTAGAAGTAGAAAGTCGTATCCAAAACATAGGCCTGAGAACAGGAAACTTAGATTGTTGGGAGTGGATAGTGGGGCACAAGTACTAAACGTTCTATGAAAGCAATAAAACTAGTCAAATCCTAGTGGAAGCCCAAATGACACGTGAAGTCTTTTGGGGACACTTCCATAGGTGCTAAACGGTTTTGAAATCTTTATTTAGAACTATTTACGAAGTGGTGGGACTTAAGTAAAAGAGTTTCCCAAACTGTTAGAAAAGAATGGCACAATCCAAGAGGGGGTGAATTGGATTCTATGACCCTTTTTGATGGAACCAACTTCTCCATGAGAGTTAGTGGTTGATTCCTTCTCTTCTCCAAGGTTGATATGATGTGAAGGATAATCTCTTCAAGGGTATGGAAGTGGAGGATTTGGTGTTTGGGAAGGTGAAGGGTAACGCACAAAATGAAGGAGAGAAATGGATGGTGTTTGGTGGTGTAGCTCCTTTAGGCTAGCTCACTTCACTTAGGATGATGAAGGCCAACCAAGGAAGACCCAAGCTCACTCTAGGTAGAGAGGAGAGGATAGGGGGCCATGGAGTTCCTAGGGGACTAAGGAAGGAATGAAGAGGCACAAAGGCTCACTCAAATTCATTAATTTCCAAAGTATTTACAAGGTGTGGTGCCTAGGGTATTTATAGGAGTGGGAGGCATCTAGGGTTGCATTTAGGGTACATAGATTGACAATACAAATCATTATCCAAATCACATAAATGCAGATTACAAAGTGTAACGATTTTAAGAGTAGCAGGCTATGAATACTACAAACTACGCTACGAAACTAAACGAAACTAAATTAATCCTAGAAATAGAAAGAAAATATGGCCAAGAAGTTGTCATACTCAACAATTCCATGCACAGAAGCCATATATAGAACTAAACGAAACTAAATTAATCCTAGAAATAGAAAGAAAATATGGCCAAGAAGTTGTCATACCTAACAATTCCATGCACAGAAGTCATATGCTCAGGCGGTGAATGCTTATGAGAGTGCAAGTATGATTCTTTTGACCCTTGTACACAAGATTGCCTCTTCCATTTATAGAAATGATCGAGAGCGGTTAATCTTGTGTGGGCTCAACGTGGGTGCATAACTGTTGTCCATTACATAAATCGCTTGGCTTTAAGTGTAACTCCTTATAACCACCTGTCCCACGTGCTTTTATCCCTTTGACACCTGATGTAGTAACTTCTATGTCGTAACTGCTAATCTACCCAAGCAACCTCTAACAACCTCTCTCCGTTTTATCATTTCGAGCCAACCTCGAATACCTATGCCTATAACCCATCCTGATTCCATATGGTAGGTATCCCGTTGGTGCCAAATTTTCGAGTAGTGAGTCTTTTATTCGAGTGACCCCAACAAATGCCCCCCTAGGAATTTAGTCTTGTGCCAGGGCGAGGGAAGATTGAATTCCTATTCCTTTTCGATAGACATTGATTCGATTTCTCCTTTTGGCTAAAGAACAAACTCCATATTTCAACTTTTCGACAGAAACCTAATTTGAAGCACCATTAAATGTGGTTACCGTTGTATTTAAAATTTTACTACCCCTCATAAATTTGACGGGGCCCATTCGCGTTTTTCTATACTCCTGTCCGTTGATTTGAAGCGTGATTTGAAACGTTTGATGGTTGATCTGACCTGTTGGCCCATTTTACTTAGGCCCGTTAGCATTGTTTAAAAGTCTCACTTAGGGTAAAATTACTTTTACCAATTTCATTATGCACACGGATCTCTTTCTTCTCCAACTCTTTCCGGTCTTGCTTTTCTTGCTGCTCTTCTTGCTTCTCGTTGTTACTATGGCTTCTTCTGCAACATCCACTTCGGCCACTGTGGTTTTCTGGGAGTACAATCTGTTTATCTTTTAACAAAATATCAAATATTTTATCAGCTTTTGTTACATCGAAACTATATCATTTTGTTGTGCCCCCTTCTAAATTATCTCCTGATTTTACCATCTGACATTGATATGTAGGACCAGGACGTAATTCAGCTATGTTTACTTCGAAATCCTCACTCATACCCTCATAATTAGCGTCCTCACTGATCTCTGCATTCTCTATATAAGCAACTTTTTCTTTTCAAATGAACCTATCGAACTTTCTTAATTTTTCTTTCTCTATCTTAATCTGTTCGATCCTTCTCACTTTTTCTTCTTATATATATATATATATGTTGGGGTAGAGGGTGTCACAGGGGATGATAAAATTTACACAGTCAAATCAACGTACAAGGTCTTGCACTACCAGAAGTATGGGTCTGAACAACACTTCTTGATGACCTCAGTTTGGAAGCTAAATATCTCTCCTAAGGGGGCTATAATAGTATGGCGAATTTTCATGAATAGCCTTGCAACATGTGATAATCTGCTACAAAAGAACATCATACTGCCTGAAGTGGAGTGTATATGCAAATTCTGCAATGAAGAAACAGATTCTACGTCCCATGTATTGTTTACTTGTAAAGTCTCAGACTGGCTGTGGAAGAAGTGCTATAACTGGGCTTCCGTCTCAATAGTGCTCCCAACTTTTTCGACTCAACATTTTGGACAACTTCCTTATTCTAACCTATCCGCGACTATATCAAAGAGGTGGAGAGTTATCTTGTGTACTATTGTGTGGCTGCTTTGGGCAAAGAGAAATAATTGTCACTACTAGAAATGTTAAAATTAGAGAGGGAATGAATCCGTCACAAAATAGTATAAAATCCGTCACAAAACAAATTAGTGACGGAACTGATTTCGTCACAAAAACTGGCGTCACAAAATATTTAGTGACGGATAATTTCAGTCCGTCACAAAATTAAGGCATCACAAATTTCGTCACTAATTTCTAATATTAAATGTTCATAAATTAATAAAATTTCGACACAAATTGTGACAAACTTAGTGAGGAACTTGTTTCCGTCACAAAATTGTGATGGAATTTGTGACTTCGTCACAAATTTGTGATGGATTAATTCCCTCACAAATTTGTGACGGAATTTGTGACTTCG